GAGATCCGCCTTGATTTCAGTTGGTACTGTAGGCATGGTTCGGTTTTGAATATTGGCTAAGCCACTACTCACTTGTACCATAGGATGTCTCACGCCACATTAAAATGCGCGTCCTTTTGGGTACAGGCGAGCCCAAGTTAACCTATTTCCGCATAGATATAACCGACAGTAGTAAAGGTGCCGATGCGTGCCCCTTCGTGTGGTTTCAAACCGTCCAGATCGATATATGAAGCAGAGCAACCTAGCCAACTTGTTAATTGTACTGAAACCGGACTGACCAACTTTCCTAAACTGCAGCGCTACAATGTGGCTCTAGAAATGGTGCAGAGCACTATCGATTTGTTTAAAGAAGGCGTTCCATGCATGGGCGTGGTGTTACTTCGTCAAGAAGTCAACAGTGTACTTTTATGCATTTATGACCGGTGTGTTTTCAGCAGATGGTTAGTCTACACTCACACTTCGTTGCATCATTCCCCCAAGCGTTTGCATCGGTCACGCTTGAAGTTGCCTCGCGTGCGCCATGTGACACGTTGCACTTGGGCACTTGTAAGAGCCATATGGACTGTTCGAGACGTGAGGTCACGTGATCGCCTCGCCACCGACTGCACTGGTACGGTCTAACGTAGAGGTGAAATTAAATCTATGGGCATAATCATCATCATCATTACACGTTAGCTGGAGGTGGAAAACACCTCAGCTATTGTGCCCCAATACAAAAGACGAGAAAAGAAAAACAAACAGTGGCACGCCCACTGAGTCCCCAGTAACGGATGGACATCGTTCCGGAGAGCTAACAGCTGGCTGCCGGCTCCAAGCCATATCAGTAAGTGTGTCCAACCAAACGTGTTCACCGTCCTTAGGACCCCAGCCAGGCAGTCGGGATGCACCAACCGACGCCAACATCGAAGTGTGGGTTTTCATTTCTCTCGACCAAGTCATCACTTGGCCTTCCCTCCTCCTCTTCCAACCTCACCCACAAAGCGCAAAAAATTCACCTCGCGGGAGTCTGTGGGCGGTCATGCGCAACACGTGGCCTAGCCATCGGAGCCTGGTGCGTGATATAATGGTGCTGAGCGGTTCACTCGCTCTTCCTGCACCAAATACGCAACGCCGAAAACGCTCATTGCTCACGCGGTGTTCCCACCAAATATGAGCTAAGCTGCGAAGGCAGCGATTATCGAATGTGACGAGCCTCTTCATGTCTGTCGACCTGATGGGCCAGGTTTCACAGCCATATAGGAGAGTTGAACGGACGGCTGCGTTGTAAACTTTGCCCTTGAGGGCGAGAGTAATGTCGCGTCTGCACCACAGGTGGCGGAGATTGGCAAAAGCACCTCGAGCTTTTGCCATACGGTTCGTAACCTCATCTTCAATCCCACGGGTGCTAATATAGCTGCCCAGGTACTTAAATTCCTGAACGACTTCTACCTGATCACCACCAAGCGTTAGCGCAGGGTTGGGTCCCTGCCAATCTTGGAGAAGTACTTTGCATTTCGATGGAGCAAAGCATAGCCCAAAACGATTGACAGCCAGTGCTAATCGGTTCAGTGCTGTTTGGCATGTTTGGGGGCTGTCACAGATTAGGGCAATATCGTCTGCATATTCTAAGTCAAGAAGTCGCTCACCAGGAAGTAGCTCCACACCTTCTAGGTCGTGTCCAGCGATCGCTGTTTCCATGACTTCATCACTAGCGAAGTTGAAGAGGAAAGGTGACAGCAAGCATCCTTTTCTCACACCGCTGGTGATACTGAAGGGTGGCGAGAGTTTGCCATAAACCCTCACCCTGCCCGAACTATGTGCGTACAGCGCTTTGATAATGTTTACATATTTATCAGGCACACCTTTCCTCAGCAGACAGTCCCAAATGGCACATCGATCGACTGAGTCGAAGGCACCTTTTATGTCAAGAAACACGACAACGGTGGTTCGCCAATAAACATGGCGATGCTCCAACACTTGAGGCAAGGTGAAGATGTGGTCGATGCAGCCCCGACCTCGACGAAATCCGGCTTGCTGTTCACGAATCTGGCCTTTACGAGTACGAACCAGTCTGTGGAGAATGACAGAGGCAAGCAATTTAGAGGTAATCGGAATCAGACTGATCCCTCTATGATGGCCGCATTCTAAGCGGGAGCTTCCCTTGAAAATTGGGACAATGACGGAACGGTTCCAGTCTGTCGAGACTGTCTCCTGCTCCCAAAGTTTTAATAGCAACTCGTGTAGATCATCTACTAGAGCAGGTCCTCTGAATTTGAAGAGTGTTGGGGGAATTCTATCTGCCCCTGCGGCCTTATGCAATTTCAACAGTCTGATCTCACGCTCGACTTCTGCGCTTGGGGGCGGATCCAAGGAGACGGCCCAAGGAGAAGGGCGCTCAAAGCCCGAAGAAGAAAGCGATAACTCAGGTTGGTTAAATTGCCTAGCAAGGTGTTCAGCCCAACGCTCCAAGCGTTTTGACAAGCTGTGGATCGGTTGCCCACTTTCGTCGCGTACGGTCTCGCTAACACCAGGTCACCTGCTGCCTGTTTCCCGTATCAGACGGAATGACTTACGATGATTACCAACGGCAGCAGCTGTTTCCATCTCAGAGGCACGATGAGACCACCAGGTTTCGCGGTCCTTCTTTAGGCTAGCACGTAGTTTTGCCCTGAGATTTTTGCGAGTCTCATTGTATTCCCTTCCAGTCGGAATACGTTGGCGAGCATCCATAATTTCCAGAGACTGTGTAGAGACCCAATGTCCGGTTTGGCAATTTGCTTTGCCACATGAAGACATGCCTGCTAACAGCAACGCTTGATGAATATGCGACCAGTGATCTTCAACGGTGTTTAGTGGGCGCTTACTCAGCCCAGATGTCAGCGCACTTTGGTCCACATTCAGAACATCTGGCTTCGCCAGCTGGCTGGTGTCAATCCGTTCACGTCGACGTTGTGGACGTCCACCGAAACGCACCAAGAGGTCGGCACAGACAAGTGCGTGGTCAGAGTCAACGCTCCTGCTCCAAATCGAGCGACAGTTTTGGACACAACCTCTCCAGCGGTAACTGATCGCGATATGATCGATTTGCGTCCATGGATGGTCCGAGGCTGGTGGCCGCCAAGTCACACTTCTGCGGGTACTGTGTCGAAAGTTAGTGCTCGCGAGAAGCAGGCGAGCATCTTCACACAGCTGTAGCAATTGCTCACCATTATCATTACGGGACCCTACACTATGTTGGCCGCCCAGATGAAGCTCATCAGAGGACAATTTTCCGACTTGGGCGTTTAGATCGCCAGCCAACACCACAGTATCCGTGCTTCTTCTGTAACGAAGGAGTTCGGGAAGTTGCTGGTAGAAATAATCTTTTACCGAATCAGTGCTACAGTTTGTAGGGGCGTAGGCCGCAATGACAAACAGGCACCGTTTGTCCCCGAGCGACTTCGTAGCACGGAACGAACCAGCTAATCTAACGTCACACATCCTACTGTTTACTGGGATCCAATCAATCAGGGCAGCTTCAGCCCGGGGACTCAAAACAATGCCGACGCCAGCTTGACCGGCATTTGAAGCTGTATCATCGCCAGACAGGCGCAGTGAGAATGTGCCGCTAGTGTCGCATGTGGGGGATCTCAGGGTAAGCACGGAGCTCGAACCTTGCGGGCGGGTTTCTGATAAACAGCAAATATCGATCGATAGGGTCCCTAGTGTGCGGGCAAGTGCTGCCTGTTGGCCAATCGGCAGCAAAGTGCGCACATTGAGGCATGCCACTTTTAGCGAGGATCGAGGACTCCAAAGGGAAACGGATGAACTGACGTTGTCCGCTTGGTCGAACATGGACTTGTCGACTTGATTGGAGCGAGGCCCTACGATTGTGTGTGATTTGAAATTAGAAGACAAGCGACTATTGAAGTAAGCTGGGGGAGGGCCAAGAATTGGGGGATTGAAAATGGGGGGATATAAGTAAATTTGGAGCGGGACGATAAGGATGAAGAAGCGCAAGCAGGGGTATAAGAAGACGGGAAGGCCTGAGCAGTAGCATCCATACCCCTATCCAACCTGCTCGATGCAGCAGATAGGGCGCCGTTTACTATCCTCTGCGACGGCCAGAGCATCAAGAAATTGTTGTAGGAAAGGTTCATTGTATTGCGTGGACAGAATACTGTCAGATTGCCCAGGCCTAGACAGGAGAACGATTAGGGTTCTCAACCAAAGCCTTTGGTTCAAAAACTTTACCGCAAGGCAGCGGGTTTTGGCACTGGACTACAGAGCCCGTTTTGTGAAAATGAGGAGCCACCCCCCATTCCAACCCCCAACCTGGAGGACCAGGAGGCTGAGTTTGTCTGGCCTCTAACCATTGACCAATCTGGTATGAGTGGCTCTGAAGGTGCAAAGAAAGCACCACCCAGCATAGCTCAATGGATCTCTGAGGCACGCAAACCATCGCGCCACGGCATGGTCCAGCCTCATTGCGATGGGCACGACAAGTTGAGTGGAACAGTGCAGATAGTGCAACAGCTTGCCCTGCTCCGAATTTCACCGTACGCGGTACGGTGGAAGTGAAAAGATAATTACTTATGAAGTGGGACGCGACTGGAAGCAAGTTGCACACATACTGAATGTAAACGTGATCACCTGCCGCACATAAGGTTCTGCAGGAGCGTGGTCAGCCTTCATGGCAATGCGTTTACATTCTGCATTGTGTATTGACATATCACACACTACTCACAAACATCCAAGATTAATATCACTTATTGACAGACATTCAGGTTTCTCACCACTAGCACCACTGCAGTTGCCGTCCCGACTCTTTTGAACTATAAGCATACCCTATGGTTGTCTCGCAACGCCACACCGGAAGTGTGCGTAAACTGCGTGCCCCAACATGTGGTCTGAAGGTTGAACATATGAACTAGCGATACATAAAAGTGATGACACTATTTCAAACCATATACTTTAATGTCAGCAAAAGATTTACAAATCCATGCAATGTACAGCACGAGCGCAATTCCTTACGTGATTCATCATTTGTTGACAGTGCTGGAGCGTAATGTAAGTTTGTGCCTCGGACACAATTCGCTCCAAGAAGGGCATTCTTCACTCTATTGCATAGTACACCCTCAGGAGCTCCGTGAAGCATCTCGGAATATTGCTTCCTCATGGCTTGCTTCACAAGTTTTTATTATGCCGCAGATCCACTCAATGCGATTCAGTGATGAATATTATGGCACTAGACGCAGGAGGCTGCCCGAACTGTACGATTCCTCCTGGAATACGCGTTCCAACTTCGTGTGGCATGGCGCGTTATCACATATCAAGAGGCAGTTTTCGATAAAACTCGGCCCTCTGGCATCCAGCATGCGACGCAACCACGCCGCGCATCTTTCCTTCTTGAAGTTTCCTCTCATGATGTTATAGTCTATTAAACCATCGCTTGTTAACGCTCCAATCAGATGCAGCTTTTGGCATAGAATGTTGGGTACTGTACATTGCGCAGAAGTTGCACGCGATGAACACCCCATGGTGCGGGCACAGAAGATATTGAAATTAGTTTCATCTATCCACACGGCTTGTCTCCCTTCGGTCTCTGACTGCAGCAGTGCCAAAACGTAGTATTTGCTCCGCATTTTCTTCTCATGTGTGCTGGTTGATTCCGGAACTGCTCGCAACTCCTTCATGGTAATTAGGCGTCCATCCAAGTAACGTGCAATTGTGCTCACGCTTACCTCAATGTGTAACTCCGCCTTTAAGCACAGACGCAGTGTTTGTAGTGACCATGGATTCTTTCGACACCCAAGCAATCAATCTGGCTGCCTGTCAGAGACCTGTTTGTCTGGTTGATTCCAACCTATTTATCCAACTGCGACAGATAATCAGATTTACGTTCAATAGGCGTACAACATGCTTCCAGTCGCGTCCCTTCAAAGCCTTATCTTCACCTCCGCCGAGTGCCGCGTACGAGTGCCGCGTACGAGTGCCGCGTACGAGTGCCTTTTTGTGACATTCGGATCAGCAAGTGCACTGTTGCACTCAACTTGGCGTGCCTTTAGATTTACTTTCACTGCTACGTTAGATCGTACCAGTGCAGTCGATGGCGAGGCGATCACGTGATCTCACGTCGCGAATGCAGTTCATGAGTATGGCTCTTACGAGTGCACACGTGCAACGTGTCACATGACGCACGCGATGCAGCTTCAAGCCTGACGGATGCAAACGTTTGGGGGAACGATGTAACAAATTGAGAAAAGGTATATTGAACTACCCCCGCTTGAGTGGAACTCGGGTGGTCGACACCTTCCGCAGCACTCTCAGCACATGGCGTCGAGGCCACAGTCCCTGTTTGTACGAAAGCAAAAGTCGCAGTATTTGTCTTTGTTTTGTCTTCACCAAGTTAATAGCTTGAGACAGTGCCTTGAACCGACATGTTTCCACTCTTCAATTTATTAGCATCAATAGACAGCTTCAGCGAGTACGTACGCTTCTGGCTGACAGACTCCGCACGGAAAAGTCTCTTACAGTGAACGAAAGCTGCGGTGTATGACAGATTCGTTGTATCCTGGAAATAGTTGCTTCTCACGCGATGTAATCCATGGTGGTCAAAAGGAGTACACCCCGTTCCAAACAGTAAAACCGTGGTTTAGTTTCTGACGGCGATGCGAAAGTAACTTCTACACTGTTGGCCGAGTGGTGTCTGATGGAGACAAACAACTTAAAACCGCCTAGTCAAGGGCGTGTAACGTTGCAAACTACACTCAGTTGCTTGTTGCTTTGGCCAAATAAGGACAATCATAGCTTAAGGGTGGGTGAGTTAGACTAACCGCAATCAAGTGTCCGATGTGACTTCCGTCAACAGACCTCTATGTGGGCATATATACCGATAACCCAGAGGCTTAGGAAGCTGTAATGAACTGATGAACACGAGATCAAGTGGTACCGATTACGATACACTTACTCGACATGGTCGATCAGGTGTTTTCGTGCCACACGCGTCAGGGTTATCCTTAGTTATGGTTAGCCTCCTTTGGGCGTAAATTGGACTTCAGTATAGTTCATAATGAGTCACATGATGAGGATGATCTCATACAGTGGGTTTTCGGAATTACGTAGTTCTCCAATATATTTATACAAATGGAATTTGGATCCCATCCTCCTAGCGATCTACTTCAGCCCATGCCGGAGGACCGGATTTGTATCATAGTGTTTCTGGGTTGATCGTTCCTCTAAATATCATCTTGGGGGCAAAAATCCACTATTCGAAACACACGGACAAAATAATCGCACCCGTATGATGCACCAAACTATGCTGTTGGAAAAAGTAACCCCGAGGTCTCCCTACAGCAGCGCTTTTCCAACGGCTTCCTAATTTCTATACGTCTACGACATTGTCCTCTCCATTGAATTCTCCTTCCCTCAGCTTTCAACTCTATTCCAAGTACAAGTAATGGCCGCTTATTTATTCGATGCAGTTCCAAAGGATATCCTAACATCGGATGTGATCCTGGTCGTCCAGCGGATTCACTCAAGTCCCATACAGTTGATACAGTCCACGACAGCAAGCGAATGTGTCGACGAAGATCAACAAATATGTGCAAGTTTTGGCTAAAGAGCCACAAGTGGTGTGGCTGCAGTATTTTCAGTTCTACATATGTGGTCTGTATGAGACATCGACTTTAGATGTATCAGGTTGGAATGAACGTTATGGAAGGCTTGGTTTGCCGAGGGCTGGGCCAAGCATACACTCTCTTGTACTACACACTTATCTCGTTAGATTTCTCTATAAACGCTTGATTCTGTAGATGCAACATCCGATGTTTGCTGTAGCGGCACAGAATTTCCCATTGGTAAGAAAGACTCGGTAACCAACACCTGCAGATCTCGCAGTGCCATACGGGGGTGGAAGTCAAGCATTAACAATTTTCGGCTGAGCCAGGATTTCGATGATGTTTACTTACCAGTATACCTAGTGATGCAAAATAGGACTTACCAAAAGTTGTGAAATGGTTAGTATACGCGTAGTGACACTGAGGAGTGAAAAGTTCCGTGAACCACCTCAGAAGTTAAAATCCGAGCTGGTTAGAAAGAAGAAATTGTGCATACACATTGGGAGACATGTCAACATGCCCGTCCGCACACCGCGATTCGCGTGAACAACTTATTCTTTCAACCCAAGGTGCTTGTGCTTAAACATCCACCTTATTCTCCAGAGTTGGTGTCAGGAAACTTCGGTTGGTCTCCTGGCTTTAAGTTAGCCCCGAAAGGCTTACGTTTCCCAGATGTTGCGGACATCCAAAAAGATTACCACGGTGATTCGAGCGATTCCAGGGGAAGCGTTTGCTGACTGTTTCCAACAGCTTAACGACCGATGTCAGAATTTTGTTTTAGCTTATGTTGGTTAATTTGATGTCCAATAAAAGCGTCTTGTTTGTAACATTTGTTTCGGTTATATTCCGAGACCATTCATCGAACTTTTCGGACTCACCTTGTAATAAGACGAATCACTTTAACGAGTGGTACTGGGTAGTAGGAACTGGGAAGGGCATCCGCTGCATTTTGCGAGTAGTTCGCTCATAGTAGAAGAAGCTAAAGATGCATGCTATGTAGCAGCTAGGCCAGTACTTCAGCATTATGTCGTCATGTTTGCGCAGGTTAAATAATCTTTTAGGGAGAGTTGTGCAAGTGTAGCACACCTTTGCAACAGCATGTGCATCTTGACCTACAACAAGCTATGTTAGCGTTTCGACCACAGGACTCTGAGTACCACGCGCCACTCTAGTAGATTAAGCGTGGTCAGCGAATCTCTAGCTTTGCCTGGTCACCCTGATTATTCACGGGGAGTGCCAGAAGCATTAAGTCAGCTAAACCATAAACAAAATAGTTTTCCTCTCCTATGCGTCTGACTTTGACCAGTGACCGTGCGCCGCGTCCAAGAGGTCTGCAAAACTGCTCCGTTTGAGTCCCTCTTTTTACGTCTAAAAGATTTTCATTTGTTTTCTCTGATCATAGTAGTCTACAGGGCTTGCGGCTATTCGGTATCAGTAGTTCAGACTAGTAAACTTGTACTCTTCCGTCTGGAAATGCGTTGGAATCAAGTTAACTGATCATTGCCGTTTTACGGTGCCCAGTACATCTGCCACTAGTTGAATTGATTTTCAAGGTCGAAACAATTCATACGGACTAATGATTTCTGATCGTTACATGAGAAAACCTGATTCCATAAGGAAGGGGATAAGTGAAGTTGTCTCGTTGAGAAATGCTTTGAAATCGGTGTCATCTTCTGGGTTATACAAACGCCAGCTTTTCTGGTCACAGATGAGTTATCCTAGACGTGTGAAAATCCATTCACCGGTTTGAGCGAAATAAATAATCCTTCGTTCTGTTGGTTGAACTAGATGAGCAGACATTGAAAAATTTCAATCAGATGGTCAAAACTGAACTGAACAGAACTGTCGCAAGGATACGTGAAACGCACCGATCGAATACAATTAAGAGACGGGCTTGTAGAATTTCGAAAAATGTTTGGAATTGGGTGAGAACTCATGATTTCAAAAGAGCATTGAAGCACGTTTGTTAGGCATTTGGTTAGAGGTATTCATCGCATCGCCTAAAGTGCGTTGGGTGAGGATGTGAACTACTCGAGAGTTATAATTCGGAGATCGTGTGAACAAATCACTACAGGTACTCTACAAATTAATCAAAACATAACTGACCAATCCGGACGTCCTCGTTTTCATCAAGTGCATCCTTCTCGCACTTGGGTTCATGCAGTATGCCCTCATGGAATCGCAACAATGCAGCACGCGACATGACATAACCGCCACCCCCAGACAAATAGCCTTGTTTGACAAAAGGCTGAGAGGATGAGAGAAGATAGTGAAATAGATGGGTCACAAGAAACTTTAAAAGCTTCAATCAACGGTACTCCGTAAATCAGACGTGTCAAATTAGTAACCAGTTAATGATATTCAGAATGAGTTAAGTAACCTAGACCAACAATGCGATGGCGGTGTTAAGTGGTCCCAGTAAACGAAATGCAAGTGATTAAATTGCTAGAAATTCCTGTTGAGGTCGAATGTACTTGTCCTTATCCACACACGCTGCCATAGATCCCCAAAACCCCAAACAGCTTAATGTTGAACCCGGATATTAAACTTCCAACATCATCCCTGCTCAAGGTTTCTCCACTTGTCTTTCTTTCCCTGCAGATACACTCATTCTCGAAGTTATGGCGGGCAGAATGACACCAACACTGACACAAAGGATTACTCGGTCAAAATCACCAGACATAGTTGCGAGTAGACTTCTCTAAAACACACCTGATCGAAACTTGTAAATGAGTAGAAATACTTGTAACTCGGGTTGTCGGTTCAAGCGACAAAATGCTAGACAGGCTTAATACTTAAGTTGTACATAAACAAAACCAGATGACAACATCAGCCATAATGACGAAATGTGCGGGGAATGAAGAGAGTGGGACCAAGAACCTGATCGCTTGCTCGACCGCTTTTTATCCCGTGTAATTTTTTCATGTTGAATACATGTAGGAGAAATTAGTCCTGAGGCGGAATTTGTCCTACGTGGCGATTATGATTATACTACCGAAGCCCATATACCCATCAGTCATTCTACCAATAGTCCGCCATTTAACTGGAACATGTTAAACAAGCCCAACAATAAAACTTGTCGGTAAACCTTCCTTGAACCATCATCAGGGTTGTTGATGCAATTGTGATGTTCTCAACATAATACCACGGGTCACAACGCCAGCTCACTCGAAATCGTCTACCCATTATAAAAGGTTGTTCTGGATTTTGTCCGGTCAAGATATTCCTGAGATTTTCCATGATGAGGAAGGTGTCGTCATCTGCCTTCAAAAAGTATTCGTATTCTTCCAGGTGTTTCTTTACGGCGTAGTGTATAGCAACTTGGGTTTTATGCCACAACTTGGCCCGCTGTTCGCTGAGCACAGCCGCTGTAAAGGGAACAGAGAAACTTATCACCGGATGTAAGACCAGAAAATTTTAATTTAGCTTAATGTCCAACCGATGTCGATTAAATAGCGCCAGACGAAACAATTCAAGTCGCATAAATTCATTGTTAAACAGATTGCACAACTTCACACGACAGAGATTCATAGTCTTGATTGCGTTCGCCCAGTCTTCACCGGTTTCCTGAACATTAACTGCGAATAGCCAATGTATCCAGTCAAAAGGTTTTAGAACCGCGGTAGACCTTTATTAGCTAGGATGAGTTTTGACATGTGCGCCAGCTGCCACCTTAATGTTACATAAACAACAATGCAAGGGACACACAAATGGAACGCGGAACGTGGAACCAGTCAAGACGTGATGGGTCCTTACCATCACTCCGTCCGGCCCTATTGGAGGGGACTTGAATAGGTACGTCACTGGATCTTAACGACCTTTGTTGCCCCAGAATTCACGCTTGACGATAGCATATACTAGATAGCTTTTCTCTTCCCATTTAAAAGATAGATGACAGCCATTAACACTCGCGCAATGAGGATAATGAGTGCTGAAACCCGAATAATCCCGGTAAGTAATAACGTTCCGGTCACGAGTGCCGAGGAACCTGTGCCCTGTTGCACACATTTCGTGTCGCCTGGGAAACAAGAGCAGGTAAATGAGTTATAAAAACAAATGACGGAGAGTTCAGTTATTGTTGTTGACCTTATATCTCCACTGTCAGCCAAAATAAAGACGGAGAAACAGTTATCCGAAAAAATGAGAAACTAAAGTTGTTTGACTCATTCGGGGATATGCTTATATCAGTTTCATGCATAATTCAGTCTGGCTAATCTAGCGCAAAAGCACAAAATTGGAGCATGAAACTTCCTAAATGCAGTCGACTCTGAGGTTACCCAAAGATGCAGAAGCGGATAAAACGCCATCGCCTTCAACATAGCTGACAATATCGCGATTGACAACATTAGGCATACTGTTTCGAGGGCGTACAACATTGCTGAGACAGATATTGGTTGTGGAAGATTGAGGAAAAATGCTTTAGGTTTTCCTTGTGCGACTCTGTTCAGCTTTCGTAGCGAAAGTCGCGCAAGTTCGTTTATCAAAAGTCAAAATACTTTAAGATCTGTTCCGAAATTTCTCAAAGATATTCTATTCGAAGACAGGGCACCTTTGAAACATGAACTTCAACACATGAGTGCAACTACTGTCTCGCCTGAGCCGAAGTAGAGTCATCCTCTATGCGCGCCTCCTGGAGTGCCAAGAAGGTGGTCAGTCAACAGTGTTCGGTTCTCCCCCTCTAAAATCACAGATAATGGTGGCAAGGCCAGTCTGCACAGAAGCGATGCTAACGTTGGTGACAGCGTGGCGGAAACTGAGATGCTCACGCCTCCACACCACATCAGTCTTGTGGGAATAGGACATATTGTAGATTCACGTTCTGACTAACCAATAGAGATTGAGATAAATCCCCACACCGCGATTGAAGCAGATACAAGTCCAGAAACATTCAATGGGACTATCGATAGCTCCAATGAAGATGCATTACGACCCATTGAGATTATGACTACATATAGCAGCAGTGGTCATGGCCCGCGCCCTAAGCGTCTTAGATCAAACAGGGGCTTTCATGCTGGAACGGTGACTCCCCGTGTCCCAATGACAGTCGTGAAGAATAATGCTGCTACACAGAGTGGCAAGCCACACTTCCCCATTGTTCCAGCGATGTGCTAAGGCTGTTCTCTTGGCAGACATGTACATGGCTTTGCTGAACCACAGACCACTTATTTATGCCCCTCTCCATACTGTCTTCCGCCTCCTCCTCTCACAATGCCTTCTGCAAGCCCTTCGACAATAACACCCTATCCACTTAAACTCAATCGCCCCAAATTACCATAGCATTCTTTTTGCATTCTCCCACACCCTCTAATCCCGATAGGACTGGCGAATCTCACGGTAAGGGAATTGCTGCCGAAGGCTCCAAAACTAATGTGATGGAAAGAGTAAATAGTGCGTGGCATGATGAACACCGGTAGGACATTATAAGACTTATGATACTTAATATCCGTTCTCTGTTGACTAAGCTTCATCTACTTCGTACCTTTGTATGTCTGAATAAACCTGATATGATTTTGCTCACTGAAACCTGGTGTCATGCTTCTGTGCCCAGCCTGCTGTTTTCTATCGAAGGTTACAAGCTTAGTAGAAGTGATCGAAAGCAAGGCAGAAGAGGTGGTTGCATAATTTACTACACACAAAACCTCCTTGTCTGTGAATTCATACTTCCACTTATATGCTCCACTATTGATTACCGCTTGGTTCGGTACCAAGCGAACTCTTGTAGGCTGTATATACCGCTCACCCGGGGCCAGCTTCAGTGATGAGAACCAGCTGCTTGACATCTTCAATTACATATCGGAACTTAGTTCTTTTGATAAAGTCGTAGGTGGAGATCTGAACCTACCAGATATCTGTTAGTCAAACTTAGGAACAAACGCGAAACATGCTGAGTTCATAACCTCCTTCATCACTGGTGGATTGGCGCAACATGTTCTCGTGACAAGCAGGGGAAAAAATATACTATACCTAATTTTTACCTCAGGCGCCTCCCAGCTAGCTACTGATGTAATTGCCGGTCTCACTGGATGTGATCACAAAATACTCGGAAGTAAAATTATAGCTGAGTACTCGCATGTGAGGTCAGCGATGATTCCACACTTCCTGCAGTGTTAATTGAGTAGCTTTCTGCGCTCCGCATAGGGTCCAAAATTGAGGCAATTCCTTTCTTTCGTTTGATATTAAGAGAGTCTCTGACCTCTTCTATGACAACGTGACTATGTGCTTAAGCATATTTGCCTCCCGTGATAATACGAGAGCCTCTTCTACGTACGATAACAAAGCAAAAGACCAGCGGGACATACTAGTGTAGCGAGAACGACAAGACAGGGGGGTAGACGTTTATTGCACACCGAAAATGGGCACATGAGGGTCTCGCGCGCGCCATCGAATATCGACTAGATTTCCGTCCCACCACGCAACACAGGTACGGATGTTGAAGACGAGCCAGTCCTTTCGCCTCGGGAGCTCTGACTTGGAAGATCCGCCTTCCTGTTTTCGCCTCGATCTCCGCTTCTCTGCACCCGATTTGGATCGGCCAGGAGTCGTTCGAGAGCTCTCGACTTGCTTGTTCTGGGTTGTGTCAATCGGCTCGGCCCCGGTCCTGTGGGCTGCGCTAGCGGCGTATTTGTCTGATTTATTGCGCTGTCCACATATTCCCGCTCCGTAGTTCCGGGCCCAGGCTCGTCGCTAGCCGTCTTTCGCGATCCGCTCTCAGCTAGCTCCGAAGAGCTCCCCAGAGCCATTCTTGGAAGCGACCCCTCTACACTAGTGCTAACTCGAACATATGAAGGTACTCACGACTTCAGCGTGTTACTGAGACTCCAACGCCTTATAATTGAGACGGACAGGAAACACCAGACCCTTCTCATGCAGGAAGAACTACGGGCTGTAAATAGTAGTAACACAA